CGCTTCGTTCAACAAAAGTTATATAAATAAAATTAGACTAATTCAAACGTTTTATTATGACAAGCTATAAATGGTTATTATTTGAAACACAAGAAAAATCTACTAAAGCAATTAATCATCTAAAAGATTGTCGCATTGAAAGTAATCCGCCTGGTAGAAAACCTTATTACAGAACACATCCTGAATTACTTCCAGAATTAAAAAAATTATTAAACACACACAGTGGAGAAGCACAAGATCGTAGAAGAGATGACACAGTTCGTTTTAACGGCTTATCTATAACAGATTGTAATAATTATGTCAAACGTCGATTATCACGTCGCTATCCAAACATTTATAAATTATCTAATTCAACCATACATCGTTTATTTATACCACCAAAGAAAAATGTGAGAAGTCAAAAGTTTTACAAATCAATTATTCCAGCGAAAATTCCACAAAAACAAAATTCCAAATGCCAACATCATCCAGATTTTATAATATGTGATGACAATATGTGATAGCAGTCAGTCGTCATGTTAGATCAAGAAAATTCCATTTGCTCAATCAATCTCCGAATTTACCAGATCATGATTTTCCAAAAGCAGGTGTTAAAATCACTCCAGCCGGCTATGTTCGTTTATGGCACCATCGTCGTTCGTCTAGTGCCAATTCAAATTCAATATCAGCATCGTTATTACGGATGAAAAGATCCAAATCATGTGAATCAACTTTGTTCAAACTAAATGGAGAAATTAAACAGGTAAACAGAAGTTATTTTTTCTCAATATACACTGCAGGATAAAGATCAAAAAGCAACACCACCTCTATTAAGCTGATTAGTAGTGTAGACAAAAACAATGAAAAACTGAATATAATGATCGATCAGTCAAGATGATATTTATTCTAAAACATAAATATTCACTTTTCTTCACGGCACTACGATATAGGCTGCGCAGTCCTGAAGTTTGAGATTAATAGCCGCGAACTTTGGAAAGAGATATTGTATGGCTAATGACTTTAATTTTTTCTTTAGGTAGCCGATAAACGAAATCTTAAACATGTACAATGGAGTAAGTCGGGAAAAATTTTTCTCCGCCCTTTTGGTTCAACATCAGAAAAAGCTACAAGTCAAGTACATATTAATAATCTACAACAAATAGCCATAGAAAATAACTGGTTTTTACATCGCAGCGTGTTAACAATTATATCAGACAATGGTACTGATTGGAAAACAGAGTGCATGGCAAATATATACAATTTCGGAAGATTCTGGGAAGAAAACAAACCAGATGTATTAATCTGGGTTAGTTACGCACCAGGCAACAGCAGATATAATCCAATTGAAAGAATATTTTCACATTTAACAGATCTAATTGCAAAAGTAACAATTGATCTTGATCCAACATTTTCAACAATTAATCACCAATTGGACTCAGCATTAGTTGATTTAAATAAATATTGACATAATAAAAAGTATGATAATTTTAAAATTGATTGCAGACCGGTATTTTCTGTTAATGGAAATTCGTTTGATGGTTATCAAGAACTAAAAGATAAATTAATGAAAAGCTCTGTTAAACACGTAATGGGCCAGGACAATGACAATGTTCGATTTAATCTTCGATTATACCTTCGTCATTGTGTTAGATCGTCGTATTATGTTTCATTCATCAAATGTACAGATTCAACATGCATTCATTGTACACGACATCCGGTGAGAGCAACCAAAACAGTTAAACTTCTCCGATCAGGCGGAGATTACTTACCATGGCCACAAAAGACGTTTAGCAAATACCATTATGATACGTTCTTACAACGAACACATGCGATACTCGCTGGTGAAAAAAATATTGTACCAGATCAGCAATTACCATCAGGACGGACGAAACGATGTTTAGAATGTAAATTACCATATATCTTTTCGTCCAAAGCTGATGAAGAACGACATATGGTGTGGGTACATTGGTCTAATGTATTACCTAATAAAAAACGAAAACATTCACCGACACCGAAATCAAAGTCTGTATCTAAATCAAAACAACGAATTACTAGAAAACGTGAGCTTTCTCCTGAATACTAGCAAGAAGTTATCTAACATTCGAATGATGTTAATATTTTACCTTTTAAACATGTGTATATAAATAAAAAAAAGATCGATATATATCGATAGTTTTCGTTATTCAAGGCTATTCATAAAAATATCATGACGCAATTGTATTTGAAACGAGAAAAATTTTCGTATATATGACGGTACAAATAGTCCGGCAGTAGAATGTACATATTACGAATACTTTTGATTTAGATGTGTGATTAATAAATGAATAATACTTTCAAAGAGAGCGCTTAATTACCTTTGAAGAAATAAAAGCAAAATAAAGAGGCTCAACTTTGCACGAAAAAAGTAGCACAAAATGAATAAGTTAGATTTTCTGCTTTTCTGTGTAAAGAAAAAAATACGAGAAGAACGAATTCTATATTTTCATCATATGTTCATCTTTTATGTATGCAACAAAAACAACAAACTTATTTCATATTCTGCCAACTTTGCCAACTAAAATTGCACTAATTAGAGAAGATCCATTTGCCTTTTTTATACAAGTTTCATGGGCACGAGTTGTACACGATGCTGATCTTTTTGGTAAAAAACGATCCCTTTTAGTTTTTGAGAAATATAACTGTGAATATCGTTGATTATCGTCTAAAAAAGCATGTTTTTCCTTACGCGACTTGCATAGAGTTCTTCTCTCAAAAACTTGCTTGCTCAGGCGATAACCCACGATATTCACAGCCATATTTCTCAAAAACTAAAAAGGATCCTTTTCTAAAAAATAGATCAGTATCATGTACTTAGATTCATTCAGATCATGTAATTAGAATTAGAATCAGAACCAAAGGATGAAAAAGCAGATATATTATTAAAAGAAAAAGTGTTTCTCAGTTATTCACCAGTAATTAATCCTCAATGCAGACCACGTGGCAAGGCTTCATTAGTGGCTTATAAGGAAAAAGATAAAAAAAACAATCAAGATAAAGTAAATAAAAAAAGAACTTATAAACAAATTTCATCAGATTTAAAAAGATAAATGGAATAAAAACTTATATTCGATTCGCGACGTTTGTGATAATACAACGTGATTAACTGATTCTCATATATATTTATTTTTTGAATTATTACATAAACAATTTCTAAATATTAATGGTATGTGTGGACCTGCACAAATTAAATTATACACTGCTTCATTACAGAATTCGATTTTTATTTTTAATGCAAATAATAATCACTGGCTAACAATTTCAAATTTGGGTTGCAAGAATATTTGGAAAGTTTATGATTCGTTAAGTTATCCAAAAGAATCATTAATTAAATTTTTTAATCTTACCTAATGAAGAAAAAGTTTTGATTTCATTGAAAATGTTCAACAGCAAATCAATGGTAATCATTGTGGATTATTTGCGTTGGCTTTTGCTACGTCTCTTTGTTATAAAGATGCTCCATCTTTACTGTTTTATGATCAAATATCTTTACGTAGTCATTATGTTAAATGTATTGAAAATAATGAAATCCAACCATTTCCTTCAAAGCCAAACAGAGGAAGCACCAGAAAGACTTCTAAATTAGTGACCCTTATTTAGATTAATTTTTTTGTACTTGTGTAGTTGTACTGGTTGATTTATACTTTATTTGAATTTAATAAAGAATAAATAAAGTAAAATTACTAAAACCTAAGAAATTTTATTTATAATAATAATTCAAGGTATATAAGACTATAACATAACTGAATATTTATTAATTAATTCATTATATGTATCAGAGTGCACATAGCCGGTTGGCTATGTGCACATGAATGCACATACCCGACTGACTATGTACACTTGAGTATACATAGCCACTTCCTATAATAAAATCAACTGTAATTGATTCATTGTAGCTGATTCATTATGCTGGTTAGAAATGGAAGATCTTAGCCAAAAAACCTATTTTCCTTTAACCGAGAAATCTCTTCTAAATTCGCTTTATATATATTTATATTCCACTGTGTAAATTCAACTGCTATATCAACTGATTCATTATCGCATGATTCATTCTGCTATACCTTTTATCATGTCGTACAGCATACTCTATATTTAAGTATATCACGTGACGATCAGTTTCCTGAAAGTGAAAATCAATGAGTACTAAAAATATTTGGGCTGTATATTGGGCTGAAAGCAAAGGCGGCGGAGCGTCATGAAGCTAGGTGAGGCTCATAGCATTTTTTCTCCTCTCCAGCGTACTTTTGTGAAACGCGATTGCTAATGAGTGTTGAAGCATATAGTAAGAAAAGTAAAGTATTCACTGGCCTGTCACACAGACCATGACAAACATGTCAGCATGCTATTCTAGATGTTTAGACATCGGTAATTCGGATTTTAAATGCATTTTTATATTATAAATGGATTTGAAATCCAGAAGTCCAAAACATGTGTTTTCCGCCTGGCAATGTGGTCTTGTAACTCCTGCCGCAGATCGTGACAGACATATCAATATGCTGCTCCTTTGTTTTTATCATGGATTGTAATCAATAGAGAGAGAGTCTTCACGTATGATTAAAGCAGCTCCATCGTGTTTCACATTTTGATCCCGTAGGAATTGCACTGAAAGCTTTTATCGAAGGGTCAGGCCGAATATAAATCTTCTTGTTTAACTTCAGAAACAACAAAATAAATCAATAGGACACAGAAATAACTAAAAGTACCAAAACTCAGTTTACTCTGTTCATTCTTCGACGCGAATATTGAACAGATGCTGTTCAAATCAATGGCGTCCGTCTTTTCCTTGTATGTATGTCAAAAACGCACTATTCAAACGACTTTGCGTGATTGTAAACTGAGCTTGAGACAGCCACCACGACCAACATTTATAAGAGAAGTGCATATGTTCGTTCTCTCCAAGGACAGAAACTGGTAGCAGCGCATAAAAGGGCCAGAAAATCATATGTTTTAACCGAGTCGAAATCTAGGTGAGGCTGAGCCTCGCGGGTCTCAATGGCTCCGCCGCCACTGGCTGAAAGTCATATTATTGTGATGACAAACTAGGAGCTCGATAGACCTTAGAAGTCCTTTTCAAATTGTCTTCATGTCCGTTTATCTTTTGCTATGTACCTTACATGGGCATATCAGATTATTTCTATGTTATCATATATTCTCCTGTAGATTATCAAGTCGTACTCAGATTTTTCCGAATTCTTTAAGACTGACGTTAAGTTTTTATGTCATAGAATGTTATGTTCATGCAAATAATAGTGAATATACAATAAGAGTTCACGATATTGTATACAGATATACATTATATCAGCTGATTCACTATCACGTGCATACATTCTTTCGCCATATCAGCTGATTCATTGTTCTCTATCATACATTCTCCTGTTAGTATACAAAGAAACAAAGAAAGAATAAGAATATTGCTAGGCAACGAGCCAAACAAAATAGTATAGGTTTCCTTGAGTTTCACTCAGTTGATTTAATTATATTCAGTTTATCCTGTACTGTGTATATAATTCACGGTGTGATATCGGTAGATTCATACGATAATGAATTCTGCTACAGCTTTTCCCCTATGAACACTAGTATAAATTCAAGTATATCACGTGACAGTTAATTATCTCAAAGAAAACGACAGAGTTCTAAGAATTATATACTCATTTTTGGCGACTAATTCTAAGATAACTAAGGCAGATATCAAAAAAGTAACGTCATATGTGTCGTCTACAGACACTGCACTCTCAAATAATCTTTTCTCCAAATCTACACGATTAGGAACAGCAAAGAACGAGTGGCTGACTCGAGCGATAAAAACAGGTGGAAAGAAGAGGCCGTTTTTTAGGACTTTATGCTAAAGTGATTTTAGAATGATTTTTGAATGTTTCATGACATATAGAGTGCTTGGAGATAATTAGAGACACTCTTGGAAATTTCGTTCTGTTTTAGCCATTTCTTGGCCGTTTTTGATTGTAAAAGCTTGCTATTGAACACGGTGGTAGACCGAACGTTTTTCTACACGCTCACGTAAAAATGTTTTGAAAATGTCCGACCAATTTTGAGCCAGATGCAGGAGATAATTAGTTTAAAATACCTCATTTCATAGCCCGGACTTCTCTCTATGTGACATATTGTTTTGAGCTCATTATCATTTAAAGTCGTTCAGCTAATTAGCATATAATCAACAGAACTAGAAATTCTTTTTTTTCTTTTTTATGCTCAGGGGTAAATAGAGACACTCGTGTAATTGTGAAAACTACG